TATTATTGGCAAAAGCTTTCAGTTGCATTTCCGTAGCTGCGCTTAAATCTCGACAGCTAACAGCGGCTACACAGAGTTTCTTTTAAATCCACCTCACGCAGCACAAAGTTGTAATAGAAGCCAATGCAATGACCGCATGTCGACGAAGAGGCGAGTAAGTCTGCACTCTACACACATTTACATTGTGTCTTCTAACTCCTGGGTGCTTTCATATATAATATCTTCCTGGACTTGTGTGTGTATACAGTATATGTCTTAATATATATATAATACAGTAGTTTTAGTAAAGAACAACAGTACAGTCTTTATTTTATCATCATGGGGTCTCTGCTTAAAGAAAAAACTGAAAAATTAGCTCTTCCGAAACCTGCTGGTTGTGTTAGAAAGGAAACTGTCCTGCCGGCTGAGAAGTGAGTAGCACTGTATCCTAGTTTGTGAGTTTCAGTTAGCTCATCCTGAGGTAAAACATTTTGTGCAATGCTTAAAAAAGAGAGCGGTGACTTGTAGAAGAACAGCCCTCTGCCAGGGTTAACCCACCTCAGTGCTGTGTCATTCCCGTGTGACGGATGTGTGGGGTTAGCGTAAACCTTGTGTACAGATCACCCCCCGTGTTGTATTAGTGAGAATATGCAACCGTGTCTTCTGCAAACTCACTTCACATGCGACTATTCTGCGTTTAACAATGGCGTTTTGGGGAAACGTACACTGCAGACACACAGGAACCGCTGCACAATGTTATGCAAATTTTTGATTAACCGATTTACCCATTTAGTCAGTGAAGTGTGAAGAAGAAATTGTTCGCGGGGCTTATCGTGACTTCCCAGAGCCGAAAGCGATGGCTTCAAATTGTCTAGTTTGCTCAACCAAAAAAGCCAAAACAAAAGATGCTCAGTTTACAATAAGACGCAGCCTCGCTTTCGAAAAGCTGGGAGCATTACTTTGTCTGTCAGTAGACTAATCAATTATTTGACTAATCCTGCACATCAGACATGTAAGAAATTCCACTGCAGGTTTTTGGTTCATATTTAAAAATGAAATCTCTACATCGTGTTTCCAGCGCACGTACGATATCATTATGGATTCCCTGCACTCATGTTTCAAGTGTAATTAATTTACCCAAGATGAGCTTTACTGACACTATAATAATTATTTTTTTCTTTATAAACATCGTTACTTTAAGACTGAGGCCAAATATTTCAATTCATTTTCTTTCAGCATGAACATTTATTCGTTTAACTTTCTGTGCGGCTCGCACAAACGTGTTGCAGAGTGCCCTCTGGTGGACAAACCTGGTCACAGCGTGTTGCTTTTCAGCTTTTAAATGTTTTGTTTTTTGTAAATCGGCTGGATTTTAATGCAAATTCTACATTCCCATATTCCAGTGCCTGGTCCCTTTATCCTTTCAAGCAGGTGTTCCCAAACTTTGGAATTCTGAGGATCGCGCAGTTTCATTTCTTTTTGCTGGTTTGTCGTTTTTTTTAATGACTTGTGTTAAAACCAGTGCAGGGTAGGGTTTGGTCTGCTTCGATGGCTACAGCGACACAAACTGTGCGCCTCAGAAATGTGTTGATGCGACGCTACAAAGACGAAAACTAAGTACATTCATGAGCTGAGCTCCAACAACTTTGCAGATAAAGTTCTGTTTACGTGTCGTCAGAAGAACTTTTCAGCCAATTCAGAACTTTTGTATAATGTCTCCTGGAGGGGCGGTGTAAAGCAGAAGAACTAATTTTAAATCGCCTGGGAGAAAAAAAATCACTGGAACAGGATCTAATAAAAGACAACTATCCCTTAAAGTAATTTAAGGCGGCTTAAAGCACATGTTTCATGGTCCTATCAAATTTCTAAAAATACCAGTGAGCATGAGATAAGATGCGAACACAGGCCGCCGGTGGGAAATGCAAATGCTCATCCCCCATATTTACATTCAGCTGTACTTATATGAATCGCTGCACATCAACACAGCCGGTGTCACATTTCCCCCAAAACACAGCAGCTAATGCAGAACAGTTGCATATAAATGCACGGTGCTTTGCAAGAGACCGGGCTGGCATATGAGCATTGTGAGTTCAAGACAGAAATCTGACCTTCATGACCCTTTACTCTGCATGCTGTCATACCACATAATACAGCTTGTAAGGCTCCACTGCAAGTGCACAACAGTAGGACACTCCAATGTTTGAGGAAAAAAAAAAAGAAAGCAATCAGAGCAGTGCTGTCTTTGAACTAAGAATTACCAAGGCATGCTCGTCAGCATTAAGCGTTCTGCACTTCTGAGTGCTGGATGAGTCAAAGATTCGATGATAAAAGCTGGGAAAGGAATAAAATGGGATGGATCAGTGTTCACCATCAACCTGATTTCTCTTTGTTGTGTGCACACACACACACATATATATATATGTATATAGGATAGAAATGCCCCAGTATATTCTTAGTCAGATGACAGCAGCTGCATATACACACCTCTGAGCATGCACCATGCGTGCTGCAGTAGGCTCACATTGGTTATGGTGACACAGCACCCATATACAGCAGTCAAGATAATGCACATGTGCATAAAACTTTCCAAAAGAAAACCAAAAGCACAAAATGAATACGAAACAAGAGCAGACCAATGATGACATCAAAAAGGTTGTTGTAGAAATATCTGCTTGCGAGTGTCAGGGGAGGGGCTCAGCATGTGGACCTGGAAGCTTTTAGTTAGATTTAACTCTCCGCCAAGGACTGGGTGTTCGCTCGTTTTGTGTTTGTATTTTATTTTTTTAAAGAGAGGATTTTTTTTTCGTTTGTTTGTTGTGGGTAATGTCTCTGTCTTTTCTCGCTTTTTTCTTTCTTTTAGTAGGGAGTGAAGCGACTGTACCCTCCTCTGTATAGGCTAGCCTGCAACATCAAAGATGAAAAAGTACCAATCAGTATTCAGGTGACAGCTAGAGTCGGTTTCTCTTTCTCCACAAATTTCCTTCCTTTTAACTTATTGAGTTTTCATATACGTATAATCTCGACACAGATTGAGAGTTTGAGACACTGAAGCCAATAACGGGTTTTGTTGAATAAATTCCCCGATTGCATACAATCCGAGTGTGTGTTAGGAACGGGAGGTAAAGTGGATTGTTGGATTCGGAGCTTAACTAGTGCAATTCATACGGAGGAAATTGTTTATATGCATGTAGATAGAGCACTTTCTTGAACGGCGAATACATTTTGATTTCATTACGCTTAGAAATAAATTGAAAAACAGAGATTTTTGTCCTTTTACGGCCGTAACAATATCAGAGATTGGACTAAAGCAGAATAAGTTCTGAGAGGTTTAATCACGGCTCCTTTTCAAGTCTGACAGAGGTGCCTGCACCTTTCTGGAGGGCCAAACCACCACAGGATATTAGCCCTTAGATTTAGCACCATGCTCAAGATATCTAGGGCAGACACACATAGAGCATGCAAGTGGGCCTATGCATGCACACCTGCACATGCACGCACACACACGCAGTCCTTCTCATCTTTCGGTGGCTCTGCTGCAATTAGGAATTCAGGCAAACTCCAAAGGCTACCGAATGTCTTCAAAGGCTAATTTTGCCTAATTTCGCGGAGCCCTCTTGCTTGTACAAAACTTTCATCCGTACGAGATGCTTCTGTAAGCTGGAAACGAGTAAAGAGAATTTCCAACCTCAACCTCAGAGGAACTAATTATTGTATAGCTTTTAAATGCAAAAATGACTCCTCGCTGCTGGAGAACCATTAATCAAATATGATTAAAGAATTAGGAACCAAACTGGTCTTTTCTCTTTAGCTTAGGAGTTTATTAGATGTTGGCCTCAGCACAGCCTGCATCCCAGTAGCCTCGCCATTTGTTCAGCGCCCCGTGAACCCACGAGCACACACACACACACACACACACAAACAAGCCTGCGTTAGCTCCCTGAGCTCCCAACACACACCACATTAGATATTTTTTAGGGTCCAGATCCTGACTTCTACATTCGCTGAGAGGACGATTAAAGTGTCAGAGGAAAGGAAGGAAATTTGGAGGGAAGAGAAGAAAGAATAAAAAACATTCAAGCACATTTTTTTAATTAAGTAAATGAAGAGGAAAAAGAAATGTCTTAATTAATGAAAGCTTTTAGCTAGCAGCTGCACCGGGGAACTGTACGCTTCTTTTTTTAAAGTTGTTGAAAAATCGCATGCATGCTGTAATGATGAATTTGAGTCATTTCTCAAGCTGAGAACACGCCACCGATCAAGCTTGTGGGCAGGAGAGGAGGGTGAGACAACTCCCTCCCTCAGTCTCGCTCTCTCTTTTATGTCCCACGGCACACTGCTGCATGCGTTTGATGGGCCTTAATCTCTAGGTTTGGTCTGCGAGCCCGGCCCAACCCCCTCCTCCTCATCATCCTCCTCGCCGTCGTAAAACAAACTCTCAGTTTCGGAAAAAATCCTCGTTTGTTTATCGTCACTTTTCATCTTTGATGTTACAGTAGCTGCAAAAGCTAGCTAAAAACAGACATTAACAGTTCGACCTCATCTTTTCGGGTTCGGTTTGACTGAATGGGGGGGGGGAACAAAAAGAAGATGATCTGTCGCACTCGGGAGCAAGTTGAGCGATGTAGGATGAAAACAAAGCTTGGAAATGTATCTGTTATGTAACATGTAAAGCTCGTGTTGGGAGAGGGAGAAAAGACTGCAGTGATCACTCATTCTCACTTCAGGAGGAACTTGTGTCAGATCAATAGTGCAGGAGGTGAGCTTGCGTGGCATTGCAGAAGTTTATTGCACTTAATATCTGAGCCAATTTCCACATGCCAGGGCTTCACAGTACTGCTCAGTACTGCCCACTAGGGTGTGCCAGATAGCATGACAAAAACCCGAATCGATTAATGAACAACCCGTAAATAAAAACCAGTGACGAGTGAAGTCTCTGGTCTTTATTTTGGAGTGTGTGTGTGTGCTGTAGCCTGTGTCATGGAGGGTGCAGACAGGAACAGGCGGTGCTCTCATAGACTTACCATGGTCCCCACACTGTATGTGGCTGCAGGGCCAATCGTGTGGTGATAAGGGTCTGCTGTTGCATAGACTCTGCCATAGCTGCACAACAGGGGACAGAGAACGCGGTCATTGATCTATCATTGACGAGGAGAGAAGAACATTTATGCATGCTTGTTTAATGCTCAACCCCTCAAGTAAACCCTTTCAAGTCTCTAACGCAATCAATTATTTCCCTCCCCGGCCTCCTGGGCTTCCTGCTTTATACAAGGTGGTTCAAAAAGGGGAGTTCAAAGGTTGGTGAATTATACTTGTCTTTTCATTGTCATCTTGATTAGCTGGATAGAATAGGTAATGAGCGAAGGGAGGCAGAAAAAGAAGGATGCAGAGCAGAGTTGGCGCTGGAGGGCTCGCTCTCTCACCCTGCTCTTGTTTACCGAGGCTGCACACTGGGCTCACGCCCCTGTCTTTTCATTGTTGCTGGTTTGGAACTAATCCTTCCAATTTCCTTCTGAGACAGGACAAGATGTGTGCGCTTTATTTATTTATTTATTCGACTTCACATATTCCTCTATTTACTTTCTTTTTTTTTTTTTTTTTAGCTCTTGCTTGCAAATGAGGGTCTGCAAGGAGCAGATAAGGCACACCCAGCCAAGGACTGAGGGCACCAAATCAACCAGGAATTAAAAAAAAAAAGGAGTGGAGAGAGGAGGAAATTCTCCTAAAGGAGACAACAAGACGTACGACGTTCGTACGAGATGCGTTGAGTTATAAAAGATCTAAATATGGCGCGGCCCATTCGAGTTCGTCGGCACCCAAGGTCAGCGAGCAGGACGTGAAATCGGAAAGGCTGTCTCGGCTCCTTGGGGAGGAGGCCCGTGCCGTGAGATGGTCAGGGGAAGTCTCCGTGGTCCTCTTATCTTCAGTGAGCACTGAACCCCACAGGCCCTCTAAGGCTAATACATCTCCAGAATGACTCTCACCAGAGTGGCGCCGCTGACGAACAGCAGGTCAAACCACCCCGCACAATGTCACAGAGCCGACTGGAAGCTAGCAGGGTCTCTACGATGTGCCTGGCTCCTGTGAAGGCCTCTTTGATTCATCAGCCTCGCCTGTACCAACTCTCTTTAGTTACTTAAAGGGCTTTGGTAATGCAGCCTGTGAGCGGTGTGGGCTTTTCGGATAATAAATGTTTCATATTTTGCAGGGTTTCACACGCCTTCCTCAATCCCGGCGACCTCTTTTTTTATGATTGGCTGACGGCTCCACGGTAAAGTCTGATAAGGTGCGGCTGAGACAACACCAGCAAACCCTTATTGATCCAGTGGGCATGACCGCTTATTCAAAAGGAAACAAACAGACAAAGCAAAACAAACAACTTGGGGCAAATTATATTAAATCTCAGAGAAAAGTAAAGGCAAGAGAAACACGAATTAAATCACTCGGAGAGGGAAAAAAAGCCGCCGTCCAATTTCTGCTCTCGCAGAGCGCGGCTGCTCATAATTCGAACCGCGGCGAGGCCTGATAAATCTTACATTATCGATATGATCTTCAGGCTCTCAGGCAGGGTGTACGTTATCACAAGTGACATGCTCAATCCTTCCCAGATTAGATTCCCAAACCGGCCCACATCCCGGCTGACAACGGCTTTCGGGGCCGAAATGAATCAGCGACGCCTCCTCAAACAGAGCACACCTGAACCAGAGTGACATCACTCAGAAGTGATAGAGTTCCCGCTGGTCCATCTCTGCCTCTCTCCCTCTCCCCACCTCCCCTCCGCAGACCCGAGGCCATTAATAAATACCGCAGTGATATACCCACTCTCCCCTCACAAGCGGAGAGTCACGACATATATCACTGCTTTTCTCATCGAGTCCAACAAGGTTAGTCTTTTTTTCTCCGTGCGCGTGTGTGCTCTTTAGCTCCGAGCTAAAAAGAATATAGCGGTTTGCCTAATAGATAAGATAACTCGAGAGGAAGAAACCCAAAATAACCCTCCACAGAATATTGTAAAATGCTGCCGGAGCAGCCCCCATTCATCACACGCGCTCTCCTACCATCACGTCTCCTGTAGATATGATCATTTTTGGTGGGAAAACACTAATTATTTAAAGCTGAAGCCCACCCTTTGCTACTCCGACACAGCGATGGCTGCATTTATGAGATTTATGAGGACATATTTAGAGGCGCACTCCTTTTTCCTTCTCCCAGTAATTTCCCCTGTTTCACAGCCTGTGGGATCAACTTGTTGCTTTAAATCAAAAGTTCTCGGGAGCCGAGTCGGACACATCGGAAACATGTCCGTGTTTTTACTTTCAATTCAGCATTTTCTCAACAGCTGCTCGTGGAGAAAAAAAGAAGCCTGTGCCTGCTCTGCAATGCATTTCTGTTTCTTTAAGCACTTGAGAAGTGAACGCTAACGATGGCTGAAGTCAGCCTTGTCTTATGGAATTATGGGAAACACTCAAAACAGCCTCAATATTCCCAGTTACAGCCAATAGACTATGTGCACGTTAGCATATGCTATTTCCGATTCAAATGTTATATTTCGCGGGTGTTATGTTCTAAAATAGGTGAAATCAAGCAGCCAATTTTATTTTTAACGGTGCAAAACGTTTCGTGGACATACAGCACTGCACTTCAGAGTCACACTGCTAGCGATCGATGCAGCGATTCTGTACTGTACAGGAGAGACGTCACGGAGGAGATCGTCTGCAGCGATCAGGACGCAGGATGTGACGTAAAAAAAAACGTGCAAACTTGCACTAAAAAATCTGCGAAACAGCGAGGTGAAAGGTGAACCGCTGTAATTTTGAAGGTAAGTCACAACATACCCTTTGTAAATATTAATGTATAGAAACCCTTACAAAAAATGAATGATTGCTGGTGTGGCTTTTTTTCACGGTTTGTTAACATGCTGTGTAGGTGTGTACTTGATGAGCTGATATCAACATAACGGGGGAAACATCTGGTTTGACTATTCTTCACCTGTTTAAATCATCAGACCAGTAACTATACAGAGATGTGCTTCTGCTGCAGTTCTCCAAACAACTGATCGATCTAAACTCTTTAAACGTCAAAATTGATCATTAGATTTTTTATGACACAACAGCGGTGAGTGTTCCCACCTTCTGCTCTTTGTAACTTAACGCCATCTTTCCGTTTTCTGGACATGATTTTGGAGGATATCTTGACCGCAAAGTAAAGCTACTGGAAATGTACAACCCTACATCCGGTCTCAAACCAGGAAGTTAGCATTTTCTCGTGCACAGGGTCTATTAATTAATAACTTTACGGAGATTTTGTCTTTAAAACCCCTCAAATTACATACAAGAGAATCAGTCTCATACAATGTGAGACCCTCACCTGTCACTGTAAGCAGCGGTGGTGGTGGGTTGGGCAAATCTGTATGCTGCATAGCCACCCTGTAAAAGAACAAAAAAAATACCACCATATTTAATCAGTGATTACCTGTGCAGACAAAGGTTAGCTCTCAAAGACGCAAGAAAACAACCACTCGCGCACACACAGCCTCAAATTGCCTTAATGGTTAAATGTCACCACGCAGTAGTTTGCTCATCTGCTCACACTCCCTGACTGCAGCCTCCCCGTGAGACACCAGAGGGTGCTGTTTGATATATGGTGTGTTAGGCAGGTGGTGGCAACAAGAGAATGAATGATGTTCTGAGAGGCAGCGCGTTTAGGGGGAGCAAGTCATTGTCGCACCGGAGGCTCATCCGAAGCGCAGCAACGGAGGCAACGTGAGCCAAATCCCCACATTTGGCCCATTTTTAGATTGAGGGCGCGCCGCTGCTCCGTAATTGAAGATCTCCCCCTTTTTTCCCCTTATACATGACCCCCCCGGCTCAGTAAGAAGGCAGAAGACGGTCGGACCATTGGGGAGTCAGGACCGCTGTATTCATTTGCCAGAATGGGGAAGGAATTAAAGACCTCATTGTGGAGTGCTGCTATTACTCTCCTTGAAAAATGAAGCTGTTCTCCCACTGTTTTTCTATTAGTGCCAGTGGAGTGTGTGCCCATCTGTGTCCATACGGTGGATAGGTGGCTTTTAATAATGCATGTTTTCATTTATTTTTAAACTCAAGGGGAGGGGGGTGTCCGATGCAGAGCGACATCGCGAAGTAACGGTGAGTCGGCCGAGGTCGCGGGTGCAAGCGAAATCGGGGCCACGGCGATCGAATTCCGCTCCTTGATGTTTACCAAGGGGACAGGAAGTCACAGCAATTGAAGCGGATGACTTCCTGTGGGACGGTCATGCCTTGGGAATGTGTTGATTACAGCAACAGCCTGAACAAACACGGAACAATAAATCACTCTCCCACATTGTCAAATCCTGCACGCGGCCGCGCAGCACATTTTTTATTTTGTCATAGGGAATATGTGGGTGTGCCGTGTGTGTCTATGCATGCATATGCATTAGCGCATGCCACGTATGTTCATTTATATGTGCATGCATTCGTCCCCCCCCCCCTTTCTGCTAATGTATTAGCAGAAGCCTTGACAGAACAGCTGGCTGCTTTTGACAGCACGCCAGTGTCCACTGAATGATTGTATAGGACACTGAGAGCTGTGGGACGGCTCCCTCTTGGTCACTTGAGACCTTCACATACTCTCAGCCAGTCTGAAGCAATGCAGTGGCCATTGCCAAAACTAATGGCAGTAAAGCACCAGGGGCCGGCCTGACGCTTTGAGTGATGGACCGACCTGGCCAGGCCTCGGTCAGGGGACATAGCTGTGTAGGACTTAGCTGGAGGTGGCTAAATGAGCGTGAGAGACAAACAACATCGCTCAGAGCACAGCCCGGGTCTCTTCCACAGTGGTGGGTGTCCCTACAACAAAAGCCGGTGAAATACGGCCCTATCGTGCGGGCCGGTGTGTAAGTCATGGATCACTTGGGTTTAGCATTTCATTCCCAGACACCGGTCTTTGTCAGGGTGAAAGTGAGAAGGAACTGTCATTGCTGCTGCTGCACAGACAGTCATCTCACTGCGGTGGAAAAAAAAAAACCCAAAGGGACAAATTACATTCCTCGCAAACGTTTGGACTCGTGTCAAAGTGGGGCAGCGTGGTAATTTCAGCATTATCTCCACAGAGTCCACGCTCTTCTCTGTCAAGGGCGAGGTGCAGCAGGGCCGGCCCCCGATGTGACCCTGCCTGCACGGACAGCTCCAGAGGGACAGTTAATCCCTTTATCTGCGGCTTCTCTTATCTCCCACTTGCTGATGGCTGGGAGGAACCGGCTCCACTCAGGTCTGCGCAGACCCCCTGGGGCAAGCAGGGGATATCCCAGCCAAACCCTCGGAGTGAATGCAAAAACACCAGAGAGGTAACAAGAAGAAAGAAAGCTGGCGGGGCGGCGGCGGACTTAAAAACCTCCAGACAAATCTAAAGGAATAAATGACCAAACTTGACATGGGACACTGAGTCAGGGTCTGCCTCTTTGCCAAAGTCTGAGATCATAGGAAGAAAAGAGGGAGAGGAGGGAGGAGCTGAGGGGGTTTTAAATTTTGTTGTTGAGTTTCTTGGCACAGTAGACAGAGGCCTAATCGACGCCGGCTTGGCAGCGAGGCTGGGGGCTGAGGAGATCACGTTTTTGTCTCCAGGGCTGGGCTTCTTGTCTGTTTTACTTCTGTTTCATCTAGAAGAAAAGTCAACTGTACTTACATAAATCTCTGCACCGTAGAAGCCATCTTGGTACACCACCCTGTGAACGTGCAAAACAGGAAAGCACAGTTAGTTGATTTGGACTGCATCCGACCCCACCGACTCTCAGCCTTTGCCAATTTTCCTATTCTGACCATTTGCAGGTCTGTGGGGTCAGCTCTTAGCAGCTTTAGCTCGCTGTACCACAAATAATGAATGACACAAACTGAAAGGTGTAACGGTTTCACATCCCTGTCCAATTTTCTGCTCTGGTAAAATTGTTTGTCTTTCCAGTTGCTGCAGTTGCTATTAGGGGGGCTGGCGGTGGAGAGGGAGGACAAAAGAAGGCAGTGAAGGAGCTGCGTCACATGACTAGGCTATATAAATCAACCGGCTGCCATCAGCAGCAAAGGGGTCCCCGAGTGGGAAGGAGGCGAACGGGGATGTGGGATTTCCAGTCTCAGCTGCGAGTCCCACCGCACTAAGACAGATCCAGATCTAATCACAGATAGACAGCTATGGCGGGGCAGCGGCCAGCCTCCGTCAGACCTCTCCCACGGCCACACAGACCAGCGCTGATAAGAGACGAGTGCGAGGCAGGCCTGCATAAAGCCAGAAGATCAGCACGGGCCCCGGTCACAGTCCAGTGAGATCTGACTGGTAATACACTATCGCAGCTCTCACCTTGACTTTGTCAGTTACTCCTTTGTCAACACACGCTGTGCAAATGTAAGGACGGGCAGGGTTCGGTTATGTATATCCGCAGATACCAAAGTTCTCTTCAGACATGTGCGCAGATAAAAAAATATGTAAAATTACAGCAGCAATGCAGCCTGGCTATGTTAGACAAGCGAGTTTCCTGCAGGAGGGCACGGTCTTGAGACGCAACAGAAAGATTTCTTTTAAATTATGAGTAGAAAAGCAAAGTTTGGGCATAAATTCAGTCGGAGCATGAACAGCTCCAGCGTGTGCACTGTCCGAGCAGTCTTGGGTACAGTTTCATTCATACTGCAGCGTGAAATCTAACCAAACGAAAAAGTGCTCGTTGTGTTCAGACTACACAGTATCAGCCCAGTTATGGCCTGACACTGATGTCGTGTACTACTTTGCATCAGGAGGAACAGTCCACAACACGCATTTTGTCTTGATGTCTGATAGAGTGTATAAAAGCTAAAACTCTCAGCTATGAAAAGACAAAACTTATCGTACCAGACAAAAATATGGTGCGACCCGAACCGGGCCTCGGAGGGTCAGTACTCACGCTCCGTAAGCTGGGATTGGTGGTGGAGGTGGAGCTGTGCGGAATGTGTTGTACACAGCCCGTCCCCGTCCCCGCAAGTGGGCACCCCTATAGGCCACCGTAGCGCCTGTGGCAGGGTAGGGAAATCCTGTTACTATGGAACAAAAACACACACGAGAAGAAGAGAAAATGACTTTCAGAGAACATCCTCGACTTGGCATTGCTTACCTTATGACAGAATACATTAGAGAGAGACGTGTGGCACTGCTTTCCCTATGACAGAATGCATTATAGGGAAGACAAGGAAACAATAGATTTAATCTTTTCTAGGTGCGCCTCATCGAGCACTCTCCCCTTTCCCAGCTCGCTGCTTTGTGCCGTACTCAGCAAGGATCCACATTTGCTGTACGCATCCTTTCCCGATGCCTGGTGAGGGGCAGCCTTGAAGCTGGGCAGGTAATGGATGCAATACCACTAGTTTCGCACCACGGCTTTTGCATAGTTTAGACACAATGGGCTAGCAACAAAGAGCAGCGGGAGGGTGGACGGGGTAGAGGTAGAGGGCGTTTCTCGGTGTCGGGCGGAGACGAACAGGCGGTAAAGGTTGTTGAACAACTTGACTAGACGTTCTGAACTTCCCCGAGGGGAAATGGAGCAGATGGGCAGGACAGCCAAGTCCCAAACCTCAGCATGACCCCCATCTCCAAACCCATCTGGGACCATCTTTAGCCAATCGCACAGCCACATGCTCTGTCCTCTGCTGATGGCTACCACTGAACGTGAAAAGGGTCAGTTGGGGTGAAAGGCTTCGGGGTGATGAGTAAGGGTTGGTGTGACGGTGCGACAAAATAGCCACGGTCGCAGATTAGAGGACAGCCGATGTGATCGTCAGCTCTCCACTTAACCTTCAATCGGTCCACTGGCTGTCTGATTACAGGCTGTGGAGGTGCATACAAACACACTGATCTCTAGACATGATTAAGCTGGCCTCTACTTTTCCAGCAATTGTAATTCCCTCACTGCTCCCTTCCCTCTGGTCTTCGCCCTCTCTCCCTCCCCCAACGTCTGGTCCATCACAGCACAGTCAGCCCCGTTATTCTTTATCCCCAGAAACGCCCCTTCGTCACCCTCTCCTCACCTTACTCTTCGCCTTATTCATTTCCGCGACACGCTTTGGATGAATTCATCACGGACCGCTTCACTTTCCCCAATCACAGATCACTCTGTGATGTGGAGCTCGAGTCTGATTTGGTTTGGTGGGGTGACGCGGTGCCTCGGCTGGGGTAAATAATGCGGGTTAATAACACGCATCCGGCCTGTTTCAGACGACCCGCCAGTCCCTCGCAATCTCTGACAAACTAGACTACAATGAAGATCCATGGCAGCTCGTAGGTAAGCGGTGCTGTATGGGTTTGTGCCTGGGGAGTGACAGCCTGATGGTACTCTGCCGTGTGCAGCGCCAGCCCTGCATTTGGTCGAGACCAGTGAGCACCCTAATGGACGATGCTCACCCTAGCCTCGCTGCTTCAATAAAGCTGACAGGGAGACAGATTAGTGGTGCTTTTAAAAACACAGAGAGCCCGGTTTAATGTCTTCTGCCATTAACATCACGCTCCATTAGTGGGTCCGCACACATATTCAAACTTTGCGTCTCATTTGGCCAGGTGACGCCCACACCTCACCCGCCCACCAATGTGCGGGGCGCTTTCTTTGCTGCCAACACACCCGTGGACGGCCTGGACTGGGACGGTGCCCCCTTTGCCTCCCGGGTGATTTATAACGCTGACCTTGACATTTAAATTAGTCCCTCCTTTTTTTTGAGCAGTGGACATCTGAGCGCGGCCGCTAAAGGGCAAAAACAATCCTTGATAGTTTTCGAGGTGCGTTGCCCTCTTCTTAACAAATCGCCGCTGTTTCTGGGCTCCCACAAAGCCCAATTGCTTCCTTCTCTTTTTTAAAAAATTTGTATGCAATATGCATGCGGTGATGTATGTGAATGTAAACTCATAATGAGTTGGCGATAGGCTACACTGCTTCAATAATAACCCATAAATCAAAGGCGCTGTCACACCTTGGTAAGCCCATGAAAAGAAACAACAGCAACAGCGTATGAGAGCGCAAACCTGGTCTAGCCACCAAAGTCAAACACCCTTTCCGGGAGGGGGGCTGGAGAAAATATGAGTTATGCGCTGAAGGGCGGCGGGGTCACGCTGCACCTCGTATGTCATATGTGTCAACTTGAGAGAAGCTCAATACCTGCAGAGCCAGTTGGACCTGAGGTAATCCCACTCTGTGCCAATGATGGGGTCATAACCGGCTCCCATAAAGAAAGATCTGATTTTCCACAAGGTTGATCTCTCTAATACTTCCTGCTCAAATACATCGGGCAATGAGCACTTAATCCACGCACTGGGGACCAAAAAAACAGCTTAATCTAATCAAGAGTCTGGAGCTTAATTATCCCCCTAAAGTACACTCCAACAATGAGAGGATCTGTCTACATATGTTAAGATGGCAATTAGCCTTTCTTTTCTGTCATTTACACAGCTGGTAGCTTTTCACGAGTCCTCAAAAAAGAAGAAGAAAAAAATAAACCTCCACCTTAGTCGCAGAAAAATATGAACTGGTGAATGAAAAGCTACTCATCTCCTGTCTTCCTGGGAATTAGCTGCCGAGAAGAGTCTCTTTGCGTTAGTCTGAGGAGAGCCGAGCCATACGAAGGGATTTCTAAGTGACAGCTGTCCATGGTGCTGAAAACATCCAGCGCAAGTTTGCCAATTGCAATAAGATGAGCTGAGAATGCAATATGCACGGGATGTGCCGCTCACCCTGACGAATGATGTCACATTAACAACAAATAACGTAAAACAGAGTCCCGACATTTGTGCCGTTTTTAGCTACACGCCTACTTGCTGCATCTGTATGGATGGAGCCAGACTCTTGTCATACTATGTTTGGATAGCGGAGCACAGATTCTGAGGCTTGTTCTACAAAAGTTTAGCGCTCGCTAACACAGGATAACAATGAGCACTGGTACTGGATGCCTACCAGCTACCTCACACTATGATTTGTGCCATAGCCATGTGCTATTGCCAATCCCTCCATCTGACTGGGAACCCCACTGCCATGCCTCTTTTTCTCTGGACCACACCGCTGTCCTCTGCAACCCCTTCAGCAGGGCTCCACGGGAGGTTTGGGTATTAGGTGGCAACGGAGAACACGGACCCACGTTTGGAGCTGGCTGCCAGTACCCTACCGAGAACCCTCCTACCCCCTCCTCCACGCAGAGGAGGAGCCAATCTACCCTGGAAGAGGTTAAGAGCGGGGAGCCGGTATGAGGCTCTCATCCGTCATTCTCCTGAATGGGTTTTGAGGACAATAAACCTGTAGCGCCAGGACGAATGGAGACGAACTGCGCTGTCACCGAGCCAGGATTTATGGCTACCAATTTCACTGATCTCCTGCACAGAAATGAGGACTGATAAACAGTGATTAATCGCCTTTATATCCCATTTTACTCCCACCAAAAGTATATTAACTGTAGCTGTGATGATTTTGGAAAATGTCCTGAATGTGGTCATCATTTTTTTCTTTTTTTTTTTTTTAAAGGAAGAGTAGAAGAAGAATGCAACAGTCAACAAGCTGATCAGAGTTTGTTTTTTAGCGAGTTAAAACAGCCTTTTGCTGCTCATTAGGGAGGTTTTGTTTCAAAAATGTATCTCTTATTTATGTTTCCCATCTTCCCAGCTGGCAAGCATATGTTGTCGTTTAGGCTTGGCAAACTCCAGCGCCATGTCAAGACGACTTGAAAAATTAGCAGCCAATAAATCACCCAACCCCTCCTGCTTCCCCTGCCTGGAGTGGTGGACCACACTCCCTCTGATTTATGAGATGATTTGGGAAGTGTGTGTGTGTGTGAGAGAGAGAGAGAGCGAAGTAGAGAGTGTGTGCATGGAAGAGGGGACATGTATTTGAGTCTGTGCTCTACATAGGTTATCTATTTCTGTGTGCTGGAGTGCTTTGGTCTGAGAAGCAGGGCAGGTGTTAGCGTTGCGCGTGGATATGGGTCAAGTGAAATTATTGTTTACGTAAGCTGAGACTTACTTAACGTCCCGATTTTCAATTTAGAGAAAAGGCGCCACGTTTTTTGTGCCCGAGCGTGCAAGAAGGAGAGGGACGAGCGTACGTTTGTGTGTGTGAATAATTATCGGCAGGAGATGTCGAAACTAAAGGAATGTTGGTGGGGGGGAGGGGGGGAGTGGGAGGCGAGGGAGGAGGCTCGGAGGGGGCGAGGGGTTGGGGATGAAATAAAAATGATAGATGACTGCTTTCTGTCATGGACAGTTATTTAGAGGTTCGCCGTAAAGCTGTCCGGGGAATGAACAGATTTTAGTCTAATGAGCAGAAAGGAAAGCCGTTAAAGTGGCGCGATGTGCTCAGCACTTCTTCCAAATGAAATAGTACCATTTCCCCCTCATTAAAATGCAAAGGGTTCATATAACATACAGCAATAAAGCTGGCATGTCGAGGCAGAGAGAGATAGGGAAAACCCCACTGAGCTCATCTCATTCCTCCATTACCGAGACCAGAAGGAATAGCGGCCTTCGACAGGGTAGGTGCCAACAATATCGCTCACTCAATCTCCTTTATTCGGTTAGCTCTGTAAAAGTCAATCTGGCGCACTTGGCAAATCCATCCACAGCAGCAGCCTCCACAATCTGATAACAGTTGCAGGGGCGCTTGCTCTCGAAATCATTTTTTTTCCAGCGTTACAGTTGCACACCGCGCAAACAATGGCTCAGGCTCCCTCAGCCACTCAGAGAGGCTTGGATCATCCACTGCTTATCTGAGCCGCTCTCCGATTCACTTTGATTCGAGGGGAATTTCATGTTCAGTAGGTTCAGGATGAACCTGATTGTAGAAATTCAGGGGTCAGACTGGGACAGGCGGTGGCTGATAGCGGCCTCGGGTACGGTGCGATGCGTACAGCGGGAGGTGGAGAGAAAAACACAGAAAACGGCTCTTACCGGCATACAGTTCAGGACCGTAGACAGCTCCGACCACCGGATTCAGCTTCCAGCCTGGCGAGAGGACCGAAAGAAAAACTTGACTCACAGCGACGACTACGAGCGAACTCTTATCGTTTAGTTTGCCACTCACCGTTCGTGTACGGGTTGGCCACTTTTTTGTTTGTCATCACTCGTGCTGTCGCGTTGTTCACCTGTTCCAAGCAGCAAACACAAAGCCTGTGATTACTGACCTTTACATTTACCATCCGCGTATCCACGGCGAGCTACAAGCGAGCAGCAAACCAAGATGAATAAAGACGGATTCATAAAATAAATGATTATGTAAATTTGTTTGTAGCACTTTAGTGTGATTGAGTTTTGGTTCGCCCTTTCATGAATTTATTCATCATTTCAATTTTCTAACAGATGATTATATTACTGGAAAGAGAGGGAAAGCATGCACCAATTACCCACAGGTATGAATAATAATAATAATAATAATAAAAAAAAGCATCCTCAGAATTGGTTGGATAAACAAATGGATTCCAAAAGCAAAACACAGACAGTGCTTTGATTTTCTTCTATTGACCTGATGAGAACGGCCGAGTGCGGGCTCGGCTCGTCGTAAACAAAAACAGAATTAGAGCAGGCAACACTAAACGGTGGCGATAGGGGAATGCACGACTGATGGCATGCATTCACTCTGCGTTGTCAGGTAATGATGGACAACTGGTGTTGACGTGTATGGATCCCGCATTCTGCCGAGAAGGATTTAAACGCACCGTCATGCATGCATACATTCAGGCACCACACGCACAGACAGAGCAGCCGCATGCTTATGCAGAAGTTTATGGGTAAGTTGAGAAGGCAGCAGGCAGGCAGAAGAGAAGATGAGAATAAAGGGAAAAATGAAAGCACCTCTATTTTGCGTCCCTCTACGATTGTACCGTTTAGTTTCTCCCGTGCACGATCAGCATCTGTGCTTGTTTCAAAAGTTACAAACCCAAAGCCCTGAGAGCACCACATTAGCCATTGGTAGAGAGACAAAGGAGAAGGAAAAGATGGACACACACACAGAGGAGGAAGAAAAGGGAAGGGAGGAGAAAAGGGAGAGAGAGGTGAGAAGACAGGAGTAGGTGAGCAGCAGAGTCGAGTTGTAAGCAGCCAGATTAATTAGAGGCAGTTAGTGAGGCGTCAGGAAACAGCAAACAGAGAGATCCGAGGAGAAGAGGATAACGGTGACGTGACCTCACACAACAACACCAACAAACCTGCCTGCTTTACCCAATTAAACAGCACAGCACCGGTGCCATGGGTGAATGTCAGGAAGCAGCGGCTGCCATAATAGTCGTATAATTATCTACACAACTTCAGCGGCACAGCCGCCGTCTCCCTTTGAAGGCGTGGGCAACGGCACAAGGAGTGAGGATGAATTCTCTGAACAGACACGTTAACTTGATCTCTGGCTGTTTCTTATTCACTGCACTAATAGGTGGGCCATTTTATGGAGGCGAAATTACACCGGCTCATTGATGCAACAAAAAAAAAGAAAAGAAAAGTGAATGGTGTCATTGCAAATATGCTCGTCTGTGATAGAGAAGAGCTCCGATATTGACTTTAAACCCCGACCAAAATATACCCAACCTCTCCAAACTCTCTCTGCCTGCCTCCCCTGGGGGGTTTGTCACTTCCTTGAGTTATGTGGACTGGGATACTGGACTCTCTATAGCGCAAGCTTTAAGATATTCTGGCCAAACAAGTCCCATTCCTGTGGTTTCTATATATACTTATAGAGGTATAGGCTGAGGGAGAGAGAGCATGGCCGGCGCTGCCTGATAATTGCTTGAGGATGTAATACATGTGAGAGATGGCGAGCGGAGTGATCTTGTATGCATACGCAGGATCTCCGGGCTGCTATTTCTAGCATAAATAACACGCGACCTGTCCTTGGGGAAAGAGAGATAAAGAAATAAATTCAAAAAAGGAATTGAGGGCAAAATTAATCCTTTGGACATTCACCCGACTGTGGTTACCCCCTCTATCTTTTTTTTTATCATGCACAAATAATTAGCTTACAAGAGCACAGAGTGGAGCCACCATTTTTCAAAGGAGACAAACATATTGAATGCAAATTGCCAAAGCTTCATAGGAAATAGATTGTTTATTAATGGCCTGGTAGGTTCATTATATAGCACACAGAGTGCAAGAGGGAGAGAGGCATCATGGGTAATGGCTTTGTAGGGCACAAACAATAAATGCTTGTTACGGGCGGAGGAGACCGGTTTATCCGGTGCTCAATCTTGTCTGGCAGAAGGGGCTGAGTGCAGCAGCGTCGCCTGGTTCCGGGGCTCCCTGCACGCCTGTATACGAGCCCAAAGTACTCCCAGGTATGAATGGGAATCAATAGCATTCATGCCTCAACACCCAGCCAGGGAGCCTGTCGCCTTTATGAATGGAAAGCTGTGGAGCTTAGTACACTCTATTAAATGAACAGCTGGATGAGTAGCTCTCGGCTGCTCACACCTCCGCAGGCTTCACCTGTCCTGGTTGGGAGACTGATACTGCAGTAACGCATCAACGCTGTGGCCATTTTTCTGGCGGCTGGTTGGCGTGTTTACGAGTACAAATTATCTTTGAGACAAATGTAGAAATGATCCAAGGTGTGCAAGTTCACAATGTTGTTTAAGGAGGCGCAGCTTGAATTATAAGCAGTATTTCTTATTTTCTGCACGGGTGACCTTTAAGAACACTGCTGTCTGCATTCTGCGTTTTTCTTTGTCGGCAAATTGTACAAAAAGACAAAACTAAAGTATCGTGCTTCCTTGTATATCCCTTTGCCGTCCATGAATTATTAAAAACACATCACAGAGTCACCGCAAAGACCCACTGCTTACACATACACTGCTCTGCTACTGGAGATTGTCACCTGAGCACCAGGTCTGCAGCTGAAAATAGTCCCCAGCAGTAGTATTTACTTCCCTTTAAGTCATGTTTCCTTTCAAAAACATCTTAAATTAGGGTTTTGGTTTGTGGCCTTTTTTTAGTTGTTTTGCACTTTATTTCCTCTCACTATAAACTTCTTTGCTGATGATACTGTGATACATGCCCCAATCCTGTTCCTGCAGAGTTACTGATTCAGTCTTCTAATGATGTTTTGCAATTACTGCAGCCTCCTTTAAAATGCCTACCAACTGTGTGGCATTCTTCACCTGTCCTAGACTTTAAATGGTACTAACTGTTAAATTAATTGATGTTAAATTAAATCCATAGGTTGTTAATGTGTAACTATACAAATGTAGGATAATCTCCACATCTAAAATCTTTCCAAATTGCTGCAGAGAGAAAAGAAAAAGAGAAGAGATGGAGTTAGAAAGCCTCGCTGACTAAATTCATGAGGACGACGACCGGAGAAAGAAAAAATTATAGTATTAAGTTGTGTTTAAGAAACACAAACAAACAAAATGTATAACTTTTAAATTTTTCTACTAGTTTCCTAAAACACACAGAGTAATCTCTATTATCCAGCCATCTGTCAGTAAACTTGAATCTACACATTTCTAATGACGAGTGTTTCTATCATTGTAAGTCATCAGGGGCAAAAGCTTCAAATTTTAGTATTTTTAATATAACTTACAACAGTTAAGTTAGTTAATGTAGCCTACTAGCCTACTGTGCATGTTAAGCACTTTTTACACATATATAAAGCACAGGCAGTCACACACAATAAAAACACTCAATTAAAGATTTCTATTCAACATCGAACCAACTCGTAAACACAAACGTCCACAGCCTGTCTTAGACAATCGAGATATTCAGTATTGTTCTGCGGGCCCATCAGCACTCCGGCAATTAAACCCTTCATCAGTTTTATTATTTATCACACTTAAATCTAATTAAACATTCTCATGCACTACTCTGGGTAAAAAAGGTTTCAGGTACTGCAAACTAACCTCAAACCGGAGACCGACGTTCCCCTTAGAGCTCCTAAAGCTTTATTATCTGATGTTTTTTGCTGCTGTTTTTATTAATTCCTTGTTTATTGTGTTCTTTTGTTTCTGCCTGCTCATTGTGTTCCTGTTAATGTTTTTGTTCTCCCTTGAAAAACAGATTTTAATCTCAATGAGAATGTCTGAATACATTAAAATTAAAAAAAGAAAAAAGATAATGGCCCGATGTATTGCAGGTGTTTTTTTTCTTTTCTAATAAAGTTTGTATCCTTCTTTTAAAGACGTTCAACCTCGGCACAAACCAGCAAGCTGCGACCCGAGTGCCACAGAAGTCAAAGAGCCCAGAAACACCGCCAGTCCTCACCCCAACCAGTTTCTTTAAAATAACTTGTGGCCAATAGATGAAGCTCTTTTTGCCCAAAGTTGGACAAGTGTGTTAAAAGTAATAGATGTAAGAAAGAAGGGGAACGTCTACACAATCTAAGCTTCACTTTAATAATTCAATTCTCTTGGAGGCAGCGTTTCGATCTGCAGGTTCTTCTCCAGGCGTGTATTTTCATAAACGTGGTATTAGCCTTCAAATTCATTTTAACTAAACTACATTTATTTGGTAAATATCACAAAGAACTTTGTTTTTCATCCGGTCTGAAACAAAATGATAAACCTGAATAATGTAGGACCTTTTCAATCAATGCCCAGGCTTCAAAGAGGACCCCCGTCTCTAAACAAGCAGTTTCAATTCCATATGCTGGAGGACCTGCAGCCTGTTGCTGGATTAAGTGAAATGTGAAACAGCTCAATAATGAATTGATTGACAGGGCTAATGATTCACAACTTGGGGGAGAGCTGCAACAAACAACAAAAACAATAGGGAGAGAGAGACAGGAAGGCAGTGGATGCAGCTCTCCAGGACCAGGCTTAGAGACCACTACTCTCAGCCAATGTACACACTACACTAATGCCATCATTAGGAAACAGAAGAAGTACATGGTAATGAAGCAGCTGGCGTTCTAGTTCACTTACCTTGGATCCTCGCTCATTAAAGATAATCTCCACATCTAAAATCTTTCCAAATTGCTGCAGAGAGAAAAGAAAAAGAGAAGAGCAGAGAAGAGATGGAGTTAGAAAGCCTCGCTGACTAAATTCATGAGGACGACGACCGGAGAAAGAAAAACCATTAAGGCAATATGGAAATGTTACTTTTGTGAGGAAATGGTGGTCAATTTGCATTTGTTAGCTCAGCAAACACTTCTTGAAGCTCGCTGGCGTGGTTTGAAAAGAGAACTCATAGCTGCTGCCGCTGCAACGCGTCTCTGCGCGTCTATCGGTACTTTACGAAATGAAATCACAGTATTCGTAAAAGTACTTGATCTGTGATTACGTGGCAGTGTTTATGATGTAAGTTTGCTCGCCTGTTTCGACACAAAGAGAAGAGCGGCGTCGGACGGTGTTTTGATGTCGTCTTGAGACGCGGACCCCGACACCTCCGCGATCACCTCGGGGAAACTTGCTCCTTCGAGTCTTGTGAAGAGTTTAGTTGATTATTTCTACCTTTCTCTCTGTTTATAGAGCCTCCTTCTCTTCTATTCTTTATTCTCTCATCCTCTCTTTGTTTGTGTGCTCTCGCAGTCAACAGGACCTAAGGGCCGGTCCCCGGGGGTTAACACGCTGCAGCCTTTCGATTTTAACAGGCCTGCCTTCGGATCATTAGAAAACAGAGGAATGAAAGTAAACTGTAAGTTCCTCTAATGAGTGGAGTGAGAGCGACTTTTAATTGCTGTCTACAATGGCTGTATTATTTCATTAAAAGTAATTACCCTGTCAAGCGGTCCGCGTCGCCTTCATTTCAGCACAACAGGGAAGAAATGGGCCTTTCCATGTGGTCGACACTCAATGGGAATGGATGGATCGTTTGACTGAGCCACTAATAGGGGTTAGGAGGAGCCGGCTATTATCTGGCTGGAGTGAGTGGAGTGGACTCCAGGAGATGAGCGTTTATGGGTTAGCGGGAAAACGTATGTTTCCCCTCATTTCAAAGAACGCAGCAAGCTCAACGCACCAAGTCGCCAAGCCAAAAACAGGCTTTGTCATTTAAATCCACCTCTGTTTCCACAGGGCGTGTCCTCTCCCCTATGCGTCTGCTCGTGTTGAAACTAGTTCTATAGATCCTAGACGCACATCTGCTTCATATGGCGCTCGGCTCCACTGATTCGAATGGGGAGCGTTGGCTCGATCACGCACGCAGGCATTTATATCCCAGCGTGATGCCCCTTTCTCGCCTGAGAAGACAATGCTTCCCCCACGCAACGTGCAGATGCTAATTGTTTTAACCGAGCGTAATGGGCTTGTGGCGTCGATTAATTAGTTTCAGAGGAAGTCATCTTTGTGGATTTCCACATGGCGCTGGGGACTGCTCGCTGCTCACCAGTGATCTCATGCACTTCTATTCCCACCCACCTACTTGCTCTCAATCTCTCTCTCACACACACACACACACACACACACACACACACACACACGGGGAGAAACAGCTGCATCAGCAGCCCCAATAAACAATAGCTTCAATGGGAGGAGTCTCCAGAGGGAGGACAAGGGAGAGACTGATGTCATCTAGGAGGCTGCAGCTACATGCATCCATCCATAGATTAGAAAAACCATCCAATATCTGTATGAAAATAAAAAAGCATTAAGAGAAGCATCGAATGATGATACTGGGGGTTTGCATGTTTTATCTCATTTATCAAACTCGTTATGTTTCAATTACGGCTTAACTGGAGCAAATCATTCCCGTGCTTTTGAGACATTTGAATGTTTTTATTTGGTTTCGCTTTTTTTTGTACATTATAATCTGCCCTCAGTACATAATGGCGTATGGTGATTAAACAAAAATATTAGTGACTGATACATCTGCAGTTATTTTTTTATTTTGCTGGTTTTGTGTTCTGCTTCCTAATTAAAGTGCAATTACTCAATAGAGCCACAAGAGGGAGTCTACTTCGGTTTTGTTGAATTGAGCTAGATTGGAGAGTCGTGCATAGACACGATTAACAAATGTCGTGTTGTTGTCCTGTCTGTGTTATGTAAACAAAGCACCCGCGTGGAAGCCTGCTCTGAGTAAGTTCAGTGCTATCACGGAGCTTATGCTACGTAACCAAGCTGTTTGTTTTCATCAACGCTACCACGTTTCAGGTCGTGCACCCTAAATATTTACGGATCAGAGCAGAATAAAAATAGGATGGGAAATGTACCAAGTAGTTGCAGCAAACAGCTCCTTTTTCCGAGGCTGATCATGTAGCACCCCCAACTTCTGGGCAATCACTTTTGTTCACATTGGTGATGGCCACAGGTTGACCGTTGCAAGGCATCCTGCCTCCAAACAAGAGCGCCACGACTTGGACTGATTGCAGACAGCTGCGTCACTGAGTTTCTGTTCCAAGGTTCTGGCTGAACTGAATGCAAGTCGTTACTGTGTTTTCTGTTTAGTGTGAACGTCTGTTTTCGGCAATTTATTCATCGTATTATCACAAACTGATTGCACGTAATTGCCAACCTGACCCCATTCAGGTTAGCAGTTAATTGGGGTCAATTCCCAACTTGAATGGCCAGCTTCAATTGCAAACTGATAACAGACTGACACCGTCTTATTGCATTTTTATCAGCGTCTCGATGAACGAATTTGATGACGACAACCGACTTCGACGACTGTCAGAGATGTTCTGTGCCGCTGACCATTTCAAAGGGGATGACACTGCACCATTAAGAACACAGGTCGTGCTTGTATGTTCAATAACAGGGCTGTAACTTGACTCTTGGGTGCTTTTCCATTTATTTTCTTTGTAAACCACAAAAGAAGAGGCTACTCGGAAACGGCTCTGGCTAGACAGCGTCTGTATTTTAAGAACACTAGTGTTTTTGTCTTTCTGCACTTGGAAGTGATAATCGACTATATTTACTAGACCTCAAGCTTCCAAGTGTGGAAGCAACAAACAAGATTGAGGCCCTTGTGCCTCCACCTTTGATTAGCCTGAATATCTTTAAGCTCTTCAGAAACCTATAATTACGCTACGGCGCCCTGTGTATTCAAACAGAGCACGCTCAGGCGCAGTGACAGTCGGAGTGGTGGTGGCGGGTGGGGGAGTGCAGAGGTCCTGATTGCTCTGGGGAGCGCTGCGAGAGCCCTTACGCTCGCTGCAAGAAGCACTGCTGAAGAACCCAGTCACACAAACGAGGGCACCCTCAAGCAGCGCAGCATGGGCGCCGCGCAGAGCTCACTCGCGCTTGGAGTGTTTTCATTTCCCCCACACTTACTCACTCTCAGAGATCACAGTTTCTAATTACTGATTAACGTCCGCTGCGGTTGCCCTAATGAGGCCTTCATTCAGCGCCTCGTTAAAAGCTCACAGGTTTCTCCACACCCTTAACCCTGTGATGTCAGGGTGGATTTCAGGCCCTCCCTTCTCGTTTGAACGCCGCCTACCGTTGTCGAAACCTTCGTGGCGCGCAGCGGAGACAGTTTCCCCGTGCCGTGTGGGAGCAGATGGAGGCTCCTGGTGGGGGCTTTGCTCTGCTGTAGACGCCTTCTCTAGTGAGCCGTGCCGCACTTCCACTCTCTCTCTCCTCTGTCTTCCCGCCTGCGTGTCTGTGGCCTTCACTCATGCGTAACAGTAATGGCGTATTGAGCCGGTGGCGCTCCAGAAGCCATTAGAGCTAGAGGGATGAGGCTTTGCACGTGCTGATCGCACAAAGGCCCATTGTGGAGGCCATGTCAGAGGGTGGAGCAGACCAGCTATCGCCTCGCCAAGCTCGACCCAAGACAATTGATCCCACAATTCTCTAGTGTGCCAACCACCACGAATGAAAGGAAGGTGCAGGTAAGAGGAGGGAACGGGCAATGTGGGTGAGAAGGGTGATTGAGGGGGACTGGGTGGGCTGTGATCAATTCTGTATCATATATCTGCACGAGCCAGTCAGGCACACAAAGCTTCCAAGCTAATTACTGAGGTGATTTGGATTCCACACGACCTGCACCAGAGCTGGGAACAATAAAGCCAACAATCAGAGAGAGAAAGAGAGAGCGAGCACGCAGCCATGTTGTCTGCAATTTATAAAGCCACAGCCACAGCTCGCGAGTAATTAATATCATCAGCTGGATGTTGTCTTCATAACGACGAGAATTAACGCCTCTGGATTCTAATGGTCCAATTAGCGCATAACATTTAAAGTACATTTTTGGCAATCGTCTCCATTCAGATCCATTATCGTTATTGAATAGGGGATGTTTGGTTCAATTGGTATCGAGGCTTTTGTGAGACACGAGGGTGAGCTGTTGAACTGTATATATTGGCTCATTAATTGCAAAGAGACAGAGAGAGAGAATTTCTGTGGTGGACCTCTCGTATGTTGATATGTAATCTCATTGCATTTGTCAGCAGCTGACCGTTCTGTGTGTAACTTCTAGAAAATAAGACTGTTTAATGACCTGTGGAGACTACCCATTGTATACGCTCTGATATACGAGAACAAAACAGAAACAGAAATTAAAGTTAAATCTGTTTCCCCCCCATTTTCTTTGTATTTGTCCTCATATTTTACGATTAAAATTACCCTCACGTCAGTTGTTCAGGGGACACGGTAGCCTAAAAAAAGCCCGACAAAGCGAGCCGCAGCTCTCTGGGAGAGCAGACAAAGATGAAGAGTAAAATCATTACCGCACCGGGCTCCTCTAACTTCTCCCCAGTGCCCAACCTGCAGTGCAGCGATGAGTTCAGCACCTGATTGGGACTGATTGAGCTGTTTGCTTTTAAAAACTCAGAAGACACTCCTCCTTCTCCCCCTTCTGACAATGTAGTAATCAATGCATTAACTAGATGACAGTTTAAGCGCTGGCTTTGCTCATTAAATACGCGTCCTGTTGTGTGGTTTAGATTGTTTTCCCAGAAGCTTCATACTCACTTTAATAAAGATATAATAATTTGCTCTGACTTTAGAGGATGCGCTCTTTAATTAGGGTGAGGTGGGACCGCTCAAGAACAACAACTGCTAGCATGTCAGATTCTCGAGTGCTGACCTTTAACTTTACATCCAAATACAATGTTTTTCATATATTCTGCAGAAACTTTGCTGTCGGTTTGGTTACCCGAGTGAGCCTGTGTGTTTCAGGCTTTGTTGTAGGATCGTTCTTCACATTGCAATAAACAGTACATACACTAATACAACAGGAACCTTCTCCAAGTGCCAGATTTTTGATTAGTTTTGTTTGCAGGGAAACTATTTTTAAAGATGTCCCTACTTGCACAAGTGGACACCGAGCATTCTGATTGGTGCAAGTGTCCTGCTAGTTATTATATCTAGTATCTCCCAGTTTTGGCAAAAGCATGAAAAAAAAAAACAACCCAAAACAACCCCCAACCAGTCACAGCTACGCCGGAGGTCTCTTCCTGTTTAAAAAGAACTTCTTCCTCCCCACTGTCGCCACATGCTTGCTCTGAGCGGGTTATCAGATCGTTGGTGTTCTCTGTCTCTCTAATATTGTCGGATTTTTAACTTACAATATGAAACACCTTGAGATTTAATTACAATGTAATAAAATTCAAGAGTATTACAAATAAGTTAAACCACAGATATTTCATGTAACGTTAAGACTCATCCCATCATCTGTGGTCGAGCAAGACGGAGCGTGGCATCAGCGAACACAAAGAAATGCATCAGGAAAATAAAACGGCATCTTCTGATTGTTTCAAAGCAAACGTGCAGAAAAGTGAAGTATTGCTGTATTACACGTGCATGTAACTGAAGGGCTTTAATCTATTTAATGTGGCTGCTCTGCTGTGTGTGTGTGTGTGTACTGCAGCTCGGCTCTGCCATCCGAAAGAAATGCAGATCTGCAGCTTGGACCCAAACACTGAGCAGAGGAGAGAGACAGAGACTTCTAATGTGGCTCCATCATGTTGGTGCAGCATAAACATGCAACATGTTTACAAAGGTGCCCAACAGACCAATGATGTTCATGCCTTTGTGCTTTATAGTTACACTTCCCACTGAATTAAAAAGAAATCCAGAAGCAACAAGAATTAATCTGATCACATCCCTGTAACAATGAAGATATGGTTTAAGTAATATAACCCCCACGATAAGATAAAAGCAGCGAGAAAGTCATTTATGTAACTTGGGGGGGGAAAGCAAAAACATTTTAGTTCCTTGGAAAAAGCTCCTGGGATTCAAAGTTCTGGATGGAAACGAGGCAACGGCAGAGCCAAGGTGTGATATTTTGAAATTTTTCTCCGAGGTACTCACCCCAAACATTTGCCTTAGGTCAGGGTCCCGGAAGCGGAAGGGAATGTTGGAGACATGTAACCTTTTGGGCTGCTGCTTCTCTGAAGAGTCTGAGTGCTGGAGCTGGAGCTGCTGAGAGCCCTCTGTTTGCGTCACATCATCTGTCTGCCAGAGGGAAACAAACAGAGGAAAGACACAAGCTGCTCATTAGCTGCTACAGTATACTGTACCTCCTGGTCATGAAGTATAGGAGAAGAGGGGGTTGAAACAGGAGGGTGGCAGGGTACGGGGCGGGGTGGGAGGCCTGGCTGACTGACTTCCTCGGCGTCTGCTATTTTTCAATCGGGCGAGAAAGCCAAAGCGATAAACAGCCTATGACTTATAGTGTCAAACCTGAGGTTGTGCATTACAAATCCACTTATTAATCTCTTGCACTTAGCTCTTGAGCAACAGGGAAGATTGAAGGCGCTGACAAAAAGGCGTGGATATAGATCCCACAGAGCCCTGACATGTCTAGACTAAAGACACATTATTGGTGACGTTTGCACACAGCCATCAGAGTGCGAGGCCCAAAGCCCTCAGCGTTGTTGTTTCCATCATTATGCGAATGCTGCGCTGACATTTCTATATAAATGACGTGTCTGATGTCAGTGACAAATTCCACTTGTTTCTTTCTGTGACACCCGTGATGAATTTCACCGAGGGTGCTGGTGGCTTGTCTGTTTAGATGGACCCCGTATTTGAGGCAGTTTTATTTTCTATGGACGAAACCTCATTGGTTAACTGCTCAGCTTATCCTCCCTTCGTATGCACTGCTCTGACATCGGTCCGTCTTTGTATTTGGTCAATAGGTTGCCGGTAAGTGTTTTCTGAAAATGTGTTTTATGCAAATTGATCAAATGAGTGTTTTCTGACCTGCTCGCTCTGTGGTTAAAGTTTAAGCCACTAAACATTTGGCTAAAACTATCAAAGTATTCGTTTTAGATGGTAACAAACAGCATCAGTATATGAGCAGCAAGTATCGAGCTGGAGCCAGAAGCATAGACTGCATATAAAAAATGGATGTTAGCTGTTGTTGGTTTGGTTTTTACATATGCCATTTCTGAGTGGATTCCTGTTTTAAAACATTTGGTTTGAGATTTAGAAATGTTGACATCCACTGGGATGCGTGCAACCTAAGGATGGATCCTCTTTCTGTGGAATATTCAATGACTTTGCATATTAAATAAAAACAGCCCATCATAGAAGAACTGTAAGGCCTGATTTGAAAGGTAACATCTTGATGTTTCTCTAACTGTGCTTGTTTAGCATGTAGCTGAAACACAAACCAACCGATGTGTTTAAAGTCGTGCTTGAAGGCAGGGTTGGGAACTGTATTTTCCCAAGAGGCCACATGAGGAACTGGGACTCTTGTGGAGCGTCGCACCGATGAGTTTGCAAAGAGGGAAAATTAATAGTGAGCAGAACTGAGTTCAGCTTATTGGTGTGGCCCTCCACGAGAGTCCCAATTTCTCATGCGGCCTCTTGGGAAAATAAATAGCCCAGTCCTGCTTTATGTTCTGTTTTACTCTAAATGGAGCCATCATTTACAAAATGACCATCAGGCTGTGAAATGACATTAAAAAGAATAGGGGTTAATTATGCAGAGAATAAATCAGAAGTCAAATCAGCATTTTCTCATCGATTCTGTAAAGTCTGACATCTTTTTGTCGAAAGGTGAGTCGCTTCCTGCTGGCCATTAAACAGAATCCAGATTAGCTTAGCATAAAAAAATAGAAGTGCCAGCTGTTCACCAAACAACAGAGGTGCAGTGACGTCCTAGGGTTGTGACAGTGGTACGATATCACTGCACCAGGAAACCTACACTAAACTCTATCACCTCACACTAACTGGGCACATGAACAAAGTTGTGTTTATTCATTTGCACCAGAAAGCACAAACAATAAATAAAGTATATATTAAGCAAAATAAACACGAATGATCTCGTTCTTCTGGTGACAGTGATCTGCATGGTAAACAGGTGAGGTACACATGGGGGGGTCTGCATGCAGGTAATAAAGGGTCACACACAAACACACACAGCGTCGTAGGTGTTGGCATTTCTATACTTCAACTCTGGAAAGTGCCGACTGTTAGTGAGCGACAAGAAGTGAACTACAAGCCATTCACTACAATTTCAAATAAAGTTTTAGTGTGAAGCAGCACTGCACAATTCCTATTTGTCTCTCACAGAGGAAAAGTAATTGCTCTCATGACCACAAGAGGTCACTCATCAAGAAAAGATAAATGCTGTGGTTTTTTTGTGTGTTAGAGACAGTGTCCATTTCTCAAAAGCAAGCATATTAAAAAAAAACAAACAATAAAACGAAGGCTGATTTAGAGCCAGAGCCTCTGGTAAGATACTAAATAAAGAAACGGCGAGAGAGGAGAGGGGAGAACGAGCAACGAGAGAGTGGAAGTGGCAGATATTGAGAACAAAAGCTGTTTGAATGTGATATGTAAACTGCCAGGTCTCCTGGGAAGTGCTCTCTGAGCATGACACACACACACTATGCTCTGACTGGGAAGTCACATACACCGATGCAATCTTGTACTGATACAGGCGTGAAAAGAGAGTAGGCCGTAGCCAGAGTACAAGCGGTTCAAATGACACGCACGCACACGCCGATAACCCTCACGCCGCTCCGAGGCTGTCAGATGGCTGCAGGCCTCTCGTAGTGATACATTTCCCACCATTTAGGAAATGGGGTAGGGATTTATTCATTATAATTCATCATCACAGTATTATCATTATCATCATGATCGTAATGATGATCGCCTTTATTATTCTCATTATCATAATCACAATCTCCACTGTAATGGCCGTCATTTATTTGGTTTTTATGGCCCATTCCGAGACGGTGACATACATTGTTAGCAGTGACAGTTGTTTGATTCAAGGTCCCGCTTTGTCTTCCCCTGCAGCCGTACAGGTAGGGCGCACTCGTGGCGGCGGCTTCCTAAGTCCCGCCTGCTCTGACCAGAGGTTAACAAGTGATAGAGGACGCGAGAGGCGGGAAATGCACTCGGTCGGCCGGCCGGCTACTAAGGAGTGGATTTGTGACAGAGAGAGACGGGTGGACGGGTCTTAACTCTGCCGTGTCCTCGCGCGCTGGAGGTTAATAGCCTGAGTAGCCATGTTGGGCCCCGAGGGTGACACATTGCAGACAGATGCCGGGACCGTGGAGGGTGACAAGGTACCACAGCCCCGCGGGTCAATCTGTTTCATCGGTCACACATGACACTATCGACCTTTAGCGTATGTTGCCAGACTACAGAGCACCGCTGTCCTCCAGCTCCTCCGCCTGGCTTTTTATCACGGCAGACGCAGTCGCGTGTTTGCAGACATCCAGATTAACTTTGGCTCGACGCTCTGACATGCCAGCGGCACACCCCGACACCGGGGGCGAGTACACATATGGAGAACACAAATACTGAACGCCGACTCCCGAGCGCCTCGGACCGCGTCCTGCTAGCTCAGTAACTCCGAGTGTCACCGCGATCCGCGACGGCTGCCTCTGCACGTTGCTCCCGAGGCTCCGACCTGCCTGGTTGCGAGACGCTGGTGCAGCAGTGGAAAATAATTACTTCCGTATTACCATAGGAGGCCACCTTCAGCGGCGCTTTACTGTCCCGACAGCTGCTGTCACGGGCAGGAGGCGGCGGGATGCAAAACATGCCGTCACCGCCAAAGCCAGCAAACCTAAGAGTGAGAGAGCTGTCAACTCCGGCAACTCTCCGGCTTCCTGTTCAGTCATTTCTCTAAAAGACTCCCTTGCTGTTATTTGCAAATCGCCTGCAAAGTGCTCTGCTCAGCACTTTCCCCCTCCTCGCAGAGTGGCATTACAAGAGCATAATTGAAACTATCTGATTGGAATGCTGCCAAGCAGGTAGATTACATCCGATTAAATAGGAGCTGGGGTGGGGGGTTTCTGAGTCTTCGCTCTCAAGAATTATAATGCCAGAGGTTTAATTCATTATTTTCCTTTTCCAGTCCTTCGCCGTTTGTTTTCTTTTTCTAAAGAAGCTGCAAATATAACCTTTCCATCACCTGAGAGAGCAGGGAGTTAAGTGTGGAGTGGAGGATCAGCCCCCACCACCATCTCCCTTCGATTCATATAAACAAGTCCGAGATGGAGGAGTCATTTTCAGCACGCCGGCAACACCGAGACCAATAGATTGTCTTTTGCGATAGGCCGTTTCGGCGCTAATAAAGCTCAGAAACGTGAAAGTCTCCTCTCTCAACTAACTCTGCAGAATCAAAAGCTCAAAGCTGAGAAGCCCACTTCAGCTCTGAGGGAATGTTTTGGTTGGTAAGAAGCATCAGTGGGGATAAATTTTACATTTAGGGTTGGGCTCACTTGCATCGGGTTTGACAGCTAATCCAAACTGTATCACTGCACTTGAGGCCAAGGAAAATATCGATGACGCACGTGTAATGCCCTCGTGGCAGCCGGTATGAAAACCACACACACAAGACTGATGCTGCCGGTGTGATGTCACCCACTACGTTATGGATTCTGCATTTTAAAACCCGGACATTAGTGTTTTGGCCGCTTCCATCTCGCTTTTCTTGAGCCAGAAGCCACATTTAGACCCGCGGGTGAAGTGCCAAGTTATCAGCGAAGGCTAGCGAGCTAATGTGACAAGCTGCATTCATTAACTGTACAGGTGCATCGCACAGACAGAGATATCTGCTTTTAGCGTGTTAAGTAACAAGCTAAGAAAGGGTACTAAAACACTATAGTCACCAAAATTGGAGCACAGACTTCTTGGACCATCTGGTGGTGCATTAACCACACAACGGGCCAAATTATTTGTCAGATAATTCCATTAAAATGCTCCAAAAGGCAACAACAGCACAGACGCAGTCGAGAGGTCCAGTTCAGTGCCTCTAATTAGCTGAGAGGAAGCCCATTTTCTGGACACCGTCTGGGCGATGATTGTGGTGGCAACACATGCTCATATTTCAATCTATTTAGATTTTGAAAAGGACATCTACGTTCTCTTAACGGTTATTTCTGCATGTGGTCTCGATTAATTAGACTGACACTTCGACAGCGTCACAAGGTCTTCTTCACGTTCGTGACGTGCGTCGTGTTGGTTTTGTGCACAACTCTGTGACT